ATTAATTAACTTGTGACATTTAATATTTATTAAACGTTCCAAGTTAATTTTCTGACAGTAAGATAATTTTCGGTGTCGGTGTATTTGTTATTTTTTCATTCATTTGAAGCGAAAGATTTGAAATTATTTTTGGAAACAATAAACTAATAGAAAATTTTAGCATATAAATGGAAAAGGATATTAGAAATTCAGTGCAGTAAAAGTAACTTCGATCTATTTGAATAATGCTATCCTATTACTCTCAATTATTAGTTGTGTTGTTGACGAATGCCAATAATCATTGCTTCTGCTCATCAGTTCGCGACAAATAGCGTTACGCCATATATGCATCCTTTTCACCGATCTTCCTTACTTTACTTTTCAATCCTATTTTTACAATTTGATTGATTTCTTGTTTTTCACTTTTTTCTCACTTCTCTTGCTTTGTTTCTTTTCCTCCTGGTCTTTAAGCTGTCTAAAAATTTTTGCTAACAAAACATTAATTTTTCACCCATAGCTGTTTTCTTTTTTTTTAAATTGATTACTTTCATTGACTTAGTATGTGAATTAGTTTGTCAAAGCATAACAAGTGTATTTGAGAAGTTCCTAAGTAATCGATTTAAGAAGGTATTTAGGATGATAAGAAATTTATTATAATGATGACCGCCTAATTTATTGGACATTATGAAATGGATATAAATGAGATTATTTAACAAATTGCGATATTGAACAATATTGATGCCTTCCGATTAAATTTCCGTTTATTCTTCATTATCATTATTATTCAAAATGTAACAATATGTAGGTAATAGCAAATATTATAATGGAAAAAAAATTAAATTTTATCACATCAATCAAGCAAATAGATAAATAAATATTGAATTTTATCATATCAAATAAATCAATAAGTGATGCTGAATTTTATCACATTTTATGAATTGATAAGTAAGTTTCATAATATGTATTAGCATTGTTATGAATGTTTTATTGTCTATAGTGATGAACATATCTCTCTATTATTGATGTATTAGGATCCTTTTAACTAAATAATTTAGGTTGTTTACTACGCATGAGATTTAGATAAAAACGAAATGGAAATTTGAGAAGAGTTTATTTCATCCATTTATGAATGATTATTTATGCAGAGGGACCCAAAAAGAAATTGCTTATTACTGAAATTTTTGAAACAGTAAAATTTATGCAAGTTAAGAATTTTAAATTTTGAATTTATTTTGTTCAGTTTTTTCTTTGTTTTTTCTTTGCAGCACTTTCCATAGGCTTTAAATATATGCTTGAAGTGAATAAATACCTAATTGGAATTGAAATCGAATTTTTTCACAGATAATTTTGACTATTGTTGTAAAATAGACAAAGATAGATTTTAATTAATATTCATCGTACATAATTTTTTTAGCATACATCAAAACTGGTTATTATTCATTTTTATCCTAGAAATGGAACGCAGATGTTTGACTTGATACTGTTATAATTCAAGTGATAATATTGGACAAAATTGATTGTACTGAAATCAATTTTACTTGATATTATCAATAATTATTGTAGTACGTGATAAATGTAAATGACGCGGGATTTTGATACAAAATTATAAGAATTAATTTTTTTCCGGAACATTTTGAAATTTTTTTGTGTGAAACAATACTTCAAAGGTTTTTTTTTCAAATGGCTACTTCAAAGATATCTTTTTTCTTTTCGTTAACGATTAAAATTAAAAGTATATTAGTAATATAAAACATATGTACTCTCTTCTGGGCTAAATACTCAAAGAGATAACTGAAGTGAAAAAAAAGCAACTAAAAGTTTAGAAAAACAAAAACAGGAAAAAGCAAACAATTTCAAAAAATTTTGGCGGAAAGGAAAATTTAGAAAAGACTTTTTTCGACAAAATGAAAATGTTGTCATGCATATAGATGTTGATTGACTTTTCAGAAGCAATCATCAAAAAAATCTATCATAAATTGTTGGCAAAATGTTACAGTACAAATGGCTATAAAATTGGCCACATGAAGAGGAAGCTTCTCTGAAGCGGAAAAAATCAAAAAGAGCTAAATGAATCTCTTCATATTGCCTTTATGATTTTTATAAGCATTCATGCTTTTGCACTATTCTAAAAAAAGCTAACGCACGGAGATAAAATTCTATGCTACCATTTATCGGATCTATCACAAGCAACTGCTGTTCCATATTAACTCAACAAGAAATATCGCGAGAAGATTTAGATGGTGGAACTTTAACCATTATTGGATTAACAATGGCTAATAAGAATAATACGAATATGCAAATGTCGAAAGAATCCTATTGTAGCGATCATTTACGCTCATTTATTGATGATGGTGGTGATAATATTGATAATAATATGATCGAATCAGCTAATGATATTTTGCACTTCCAAAGAACACTAACACGAAGTGCGGAATCATTACATTCGTTCGGTATCAAACATTTACAATCATCAACATTGCGACGTCATTCGCATAACCTTAACAACGAACGACATCGAACTTTAGTATGGGTACGACCAACAAGAGAAGAATTAATGGCCAGAGCAAGTCGTCGTGTTTCAGACGAACCAAAATTACTTCACCATACACAATATGATCCTGTTAGAGGTCTGACTCCAATTAATCTATCAAATTTCTTAGAAGCAAATTTTTAATTTTATTGTTTCAATTAATTCATTTGTGAATCACCCATTTCTAAATCAATTATCCATTCAATATTTGATATATTCCTATTTACTATTCTTCCCATTTGATTTCAGTTTACTTATTATCCTATTACTCTAATTTGTGTACTTACTATTTTTATCTAGTTTTCTATTATTTCAAAAAAAAAGAAAAATGATCCTGATTCAATATCTGAGATAAAACAACTTTATTATCTCTATTAAGACTAAATTTTGTGAAATTTGAAAAAAGAATAAATGATTTCACCGCCTTTT